CCCGCCACTTCCTGCACATCTTGGGGTTATGACAGCAACCAAGACTGCCGGGATTGTTGCTAAGTGACGTGGTCATGTGATGTTGCACTTTACAACTGCATTGCTTAGCGACAGCAATCCCAGTCCCAACTGCCATCATAACCTGAGGACTACCTGTACTGAATAATAACTGAAACAAAGTTTAGTATTTTTTTCACACTCCTACACAAGAATCATTGACATTTTCAGTGAAAAAAAAATTAATAATTTTTGAGATCTTAATATAGTTCTTGAAAAATACCTATCTACCTACCCACCCATCCATCTATCCATCCATCATTCTAATTTGTATGCTGCCTGACTTGATGATGATTCTGGATTGGCATAAACAGTTTACACAGTTTATTTTGAGGTGAAAAGTTCTTGAGATCCCCATCTATTATTGATATACCTGTTTTGTTTTTCTCCCAGACTAATTGAACAGATTTATTACATTAGTCCTAATCAGTCTCAAACCAGTCTAAAGTTTTAATGATGTGAGAACCACAACAAAAAGGGTTTAGTTGTTTGACATACCTAGTTAAATATACATACATCCACAAGCAGTACAGGCTTTTGTTTTAGCTGCTTTACTGATAAATCAGATGTATTCTCCAGTTATGAGCTGTACATAAACCAGAGTAGGAATGCTGTAATCCTTCAAACTGATTAGTCTCTGAGTGCATCTAAAGGTTAACTTAAATCACATCTAAGGATGAGTTGTTTGTGACAAACTATATTTGGTATTTCCAGAGATTGGCTGTTGTAGCTAAAACAAACTACAGGTAGTCCTCACTTAACTGACCACTCTTGGGACCAGCAACTCCATTACTAAGCAGCACGGTAGTTAAATGAAACGTCATGTGACTGCAGTGATCTGTGACATCAGTTCCAGCTGCAGTCATTAAGGAAATCACTGCAGGTTGTTAAATGCAATATCACGTGACCGTGACTTGTGACTTTCTGCCAACTACCCCATTGATTTTGCTTGTTGGAAGCTGGCTGTGAAGGTTGCACATGGCAATCACATGACTGTGGGACACAACTGTTGTAAACAAGCACCTGTTACCAAGTGCCTGAATCACAATCACATCACTGCAGGACACTGAGAACTGGTAGTAAATCTGTTCTTTCAGTGCCATTGTAACTGAACGGTCACTGAACAAGCAGTCAGTAATGAGGACTACCTGTATAGCTGCAAGTCCTGGATTGCAGAAACCAAAAAAGGCAACTTGATTATAGAGCCATATATTACAGGGTAAATTCCTTACTTGTTAACCATAGGTTATTGTGAGTTTGTATTGTACATTCATTATTTCATGAAACTGGAAAGTTTTTGAGTGAGGTGAATCCCTTATATGTTCATTGGCCAATTAAGGTTTTTATTCATTGTTTAATAACATTCAGTTGCACAGTTCAGTTGAAATGTTCTCTGACTAGTTTATATTAAAATAGAATAATAACAGTAAACATTGCAATCTTATTTTAAATGGATAAAGAAATTAGCAAAAATCTAATTATCCTGGTTAAATATGTTCATTTCTTGGTGCTGAAATGGCATAATTGATTCAGGCAAGCCTCTGTGGAGAGAAAGTTCCATAAACAGAGACTTATCATTAAAACTGTTTACTAAAAAAAAGCAGTTACTGTTTTTTATTAAAAAAATCTACCCTTGTTTTCCATAAGGATAGATCAGTAAAGCTACTTTTATCAATTTTAAAACAACAAAATGAATCAAGTTAATATGAAGTGTTTTGCATAGTTTAGTTTTTTATTTTAAGTCTTATAAAATCAGTATTTACTTTGCTCTCAGAATCTGTAGTTTATATTGAAAAGCATAATGTGGCTTTTCATTACAGCTGCGCTAGAAAAAAAGCCACACATGATAGTTAACGTTTTACTCTTAAGTGCTTTATGTTTGAGGGGCAAAGAGTTTAAATCAATATACTGACCTTTTTGTTGCATAATTTATCAGAAGACAAGCAGTTTTCATTTAGATTTTTAATCTTCCAGCTTCTGTTCTCCTCTGACTTAAGCTGGCTGTTTGCTTAGATTAGTTCTTGGACAGTTTCTCAGTTTGCAATTCTTCTGCAGTGTACTGGTTTCTTAGTCCTTTTCTGGAAGGTCATCTGCAACAATTCATAAAGTTTTTGCCAGATTCCTTTATCACAAATCAGAACATTTGTTCTTTCATCATGACGTCAGTTTGCCCATTTCATAATCATGAAATGTGCTGTGAATGCAATACACACAGCTCAAAAATCAGTGGCTTTCCAGATCCCCTATACCTCATCACTTTCAGTGGGTTGAGAATTGCACCATATGTACTCTTGTGTAATTGGACCTTAACCTGAATAAAATAATTTCTTTAGTTCCCAATGTTACATTGAATTTCCAAGCTTCTTTCTTTCTGAAACAGGATGAACATAGATGCCCAACACTGAGTTGAATCATAGGCCTTACTAACACCTTATTGTTTTACTTCAAAGTTTCAGATAAAAGTATATTTATATTTAGGATAAAGATGCATATAATCAAACATTATATATAACACATTGGACAGCTAGATGCTTTCTGGAAACTGGCCAGCATAGATAGAAAAGTGGTGACAATTTTTCATTGTTTTTCCCTAGCAATTGTTAGTTCAAGTATGCTGGGTGTGATTCAGAGTGTAATAAACAGCTAGCACTGCTGGTCATCTTGGGAGATTTGTTTAGTCACTTCAATTATGTGGTGTGTAAAGAAATACAGTGAAACCAGGTTAGTTGGGGAAGAAAGTGTCAGTTACTCCCTGGGAGAAAGGGATGTCAGTTACAAAGTATGAAAGTGTGTCATAGCAATTGTTTACATCATTTGTATGCTGATTTCATTACATAATTATATGCTACCAAATCTAATTGATTCAGCAGCACACAAATTTAATAAACACATAATTTGTATCAATTGATATCATTTGCATGATGAGGACACACATATAAGGTAGACACAAATGACATAGTTTGCATCATTTGTGTGATAGCACATTATGCAAATGATAGAAATAGCTATAGAAATTTGGCCTGTCACATATCTGTTATATTCAGATAGGTTATTTTAGAAGGACAAGCTGATAATACAACAGAAGCTACAGGAATTGTGTAAGTGCTGAAAAATCACTAACCCTGAGCATTTAAAGAAGGGATTCTCAGGAATGAAAGGGGAAGGGCAAGGGAGATTGGCAGGGTGGGAAGTGGTGGTGGACTGTGCAGTGTCTATTAAAGCTGCACGAAGATTTCCAGAAAGGACTGGTGACCTCATGGAACATCCACTTGGCCTTTCATGAAGTCAATACTTTCTAGCCCCCCTCCCAAGAAATTAAATGGACAAGCTCCATTCCAATCTCCCTAGAAGCCAGTTAAAATGGCCACTGAAGCCCAGAGCTGGATGGTGGTATGGGAGGAGGTTATCCTGCAGTGGGCCAGTTGGAGACCAGTAGATTACCAACCCTCTGCAGTTTATTCCTCCATGTGACAGAGTTCTGCATGGGAAGATTTCTTTTGTTTTCTGATGCAAAATGCTATTTTCCTGCAATATTCTCTTGATCTTATTTTGGCTTCAGCCTGCCTCAGCAGTGGACTGGCCTGAGATGGAGGCTCTGTTGTGAACTCATGACCACAAAAACAGCAAGAGGCCTGTTAGAGCTGGCCAAGGAGGGTATGCAGATGGACTCAGTGCCTCCTTCGTTACTGATATATCAGCAGTGATAGATGATACTATAAATGTCCAGGAAGGGAATGAGCTATGTTAACAAAAGGCACTGATTGATCTCCATCAGGTTCGTGTCAGCTCTTAGCCACCACAAAAGACAGGCATCCACTCAATTCGCTCAACTGAAGCTAAAGACGGCCGGCAGAAAACCGGGAACAGTTTCATCCTTCCGTCCACATTCAGAGGGCATACTGCGTTGTTTTAAAACATTCTCTATCTAATCATGCAATAGTTTATTATACAGGGTCCCGCTAAGATATCTCCAGTGGAAGCAAGCACTCCCGAATAGAGGCCGTCATTCTTCAAAGGACGCCAAGATTCAACAGCTCAGCTTCAGCACACAACGCTGCCGGAGGGGAGTGGCTGAGGAGCGCGTCCAAGGCCGCCGCCGCCGCTGACTCGACAAGCTCGGCCCCATCCCAGCCTCTGTGGATTGGATGTTGCAATCCCTTTTCTGCTTTGCAGTGAAGGGCGGGACAATCACGCAGCCTGCTCGTGGCCACTGGTCAACAACCAGGCCGGCTGCCAAGCGCCGACCAATCCGATCGTGGCAATTGCCATACCCCTGCGAAAGAAACCAATAGAAAAGCAGAACCTCTGAAGATTCCTGCCGTTTAGGGAATCTCTGGGTTCTGGAGATCGAAGAAGTGAGTTGTGCGTCGAATCAGGCAGTCCTTCAGTGGAACAGGGAGGCAGAGAAACTCCGCTGCTTGCAACTATGGATGCTAAGAAACATGTAGCCAATTTCGGTGCAGGACCTGCTAAACTGCCGCGGTCGGTATGTACTCCGAACTCTCGAAGGCATCTTGTAGGATGTCCTAAACGGAAAGAAGGGATGCTGTGCGCTCTTAATTGAGGGAAAGTTGTGCTGAGGCTGTGATAACGCTTTGCTTGGAAAGTAAGCTTTGCTACCGAGTTAGGGTTTGGTTTAAAGTTGGTTTAAATAGGGCTTATTTTGAAACATGGATACCGAACGTTGCTCTCTTAAGTGCCCGTTTTTGTTTAATTTCTAAGAAAACTTTTGGAACGATGTTTGGAGATGTTTGATTCCAAGACTATTCTTGGAAATAGATGATGAGAGAGACACTTCTATACTTTGCAGCAGGCCAATTTATTTTCTTTTTCAACAGGTATTTTTAATGCAAAGAGTCAGGAAACGATGTCCATGTTGACATGGCTGCCTTGGAAACTTTGTGTTAGGGATCTCAGTTATAGTTAGTCTTTTAGCATGCTGATTTTGCTGGATAAACTAAATTTGCTTAAAGGAATATAAACTTGGCATTTGGGTGTTTTACTTTTCCAAAACGGATGCAATCCAGAAAACCCATTTTTGTAAAGAAGAGAACGTTTGCGGGAGTAAAACGCTAACAAGTTGAAAAATATTTTTTTTGTTCAAAGATATGATAGAATATATGCAAAACAAGTGCTAGCACTGCAGGATTGCAAGGTATTTTGTCGTCTTTATATTTCTTTATCTCTTTAGTTCCTAATATTAGTTTAGTTTCAAGGGGTCCAAAGCACATTGTATATGTGGGGAAGGGGGGGGGGCAAACACTAATTGATACTTTAAAATCTCAGATTCCAAACCTGTGCTGTCAGACCTCCAACTTGTTAGGCATTTTTATTTCATGTTACTTCAGTGGTGGTAGGGGTAACAAGTTGCATTTCTGGCATAGCAGCAAAAACTTATTGCTAGATAGGGTTACCTCATTGCTTTAAGAATAGTGCATGTTAAAATTGTTGTGCCCCAGAGCACAAATTCTGATACTTGCAAAAAAAAAGTAGGTTCTCCTGCTTTTCCACTTGGGAAAACTAGAGTATCTTGAATGGTTGGGGGTGATAATTCTTAATCATTTTGTTTGTGCATTCAAGAGACTAGTATTTGAAAAGTCCATTGTCTTCTCTTACTGAATAAATCCTTTGTGAACATGTAGGCCAGAAATATTTGTAGATAGGGTACAACTTCAGGCAGCTTCACACTAACTGAATAGTTGCTAAGTACATAACTCATTTTAATCCAGAAAGTTGCATCAGCAGCTGCCTTGATCCAATTACATTTGGAGGGGTGTGGCTCTTTATATCAGGTTTTTCAGCTTTCCAGCAGAATTGCATGTCTAGACAGTTTTAAAAAATAACTGTGTGTTCTGATTAAGGTCTAGAAAATGTGGCATTGCTATTTTTAATATCTACTTAGGTTAGTTAACATTTTATTGTCCCCCTTTAAAAAAAACACACAATTTTTTATGTGAACTAGCTTGTAAAGAAACTGAGCAGGATTAGCACAGCTTTTTCTCAGATTTGATGTTTAATAAGATTTTCAGATGAAGGCAGTGGTATCAGTGGCTGTATAAAAGCATCTTTATTTCTCAATTATGGATGGATGGATGGATGGATGGATGGATGGATGGATGGATGGATG